CATTAACTTGTGAATTTTTCTAATACACAATATTTTTTATAGTATCAATGCTTTTAATAGATTCTTTTTCATTGTTTTATAAATTCACTCGAAATTTTCTGTGAGTAAGAATAAGTAGGCCACTGTTCAATAGGACAATGATCGTTTATTTTGCGCCAACGTTAGCCGCCTGACCAGATGTGAAAGGTTTTGTCATTTTTAGTGAAAAATTAAACCAAAATATTTGGAAAATGTAATCTAAAAATAATGTATTCATATAAGCATAATTTTAGCTCATTTGATTCTTTTTATTCAATTTTTTCAATTCACAAGCAGAACCATTGGGGATTGTATATTATACTTATCAATTTCTCCTTCGAAAATAGTCATGAAAATAGTCATGAAAATAGTAATAAAATATGAATAAGTGTCCAATAAAGACTAATTTCTAAAATTTTTGTTGTTTTTTAATAAGAAGCCGATGTTAAGATAATATTTTTTTTTATTTAATTTCTAGTATACTAGTATACCAGTATATTTAACAATATTATTTTAGCGTTGATGTAACTTTAGAAATTAAATAGTATATCTAACTGTGTATATATACAATGCTTTGAGGAAGTATGCTATATGTTTAAAAAAATTGGCTGTATTTAAGATTATTTTCGTTTTCGCTTTTTATAAGTAATACATAGCAAAATGTAGATTCTATTTAAACATCTTTTTATTTCTAAAAAGTACAGAATAATAAAATTACGAGTATTTCGTCGGTCGTAAGTTTCTTAATTTATACCTAGCGCTACTAATTACTGAAATGCAAGAAATAAAAAATTCTTGTGACAAAATAAAAATAAATCATCTTTAGAGTAATGTAAAATTTTTTAATAATTTTAAAAAAGGAACAAATGTACTCTGTTAAGGACAATTTTTACATTTTACGCTAAATGTATCAACTTTAAACATCTATAACAATTTAAGTGAATGAGACATATAAAGTGCCATAATTATGATGGCTAGACTGCTGATGTTTATGCATATATAATAATCCAAGATACATGCAATAAATATGCGAAATACGTCTGAGAAATATATAAGAAAAATGTGTATATGTATATCCAGAAAATATCAATTATTTTATTATATCATTCATTATTTATTATTTACTATCTTACTATCCAGTACATCTTTTAAAAAAATGTCTGCCTACTCTGTTGTTGAGACGTCACCAAGACAAGTTAATAACAACCATAGCTTGACACTCATCGGCATAAAAATTATTTTTTATAAATTATTGCTGGATAATCAAAAAATTATTTTGTACATTATTACTTGTAGTGATAGAAGCAATTTTATTACATTCATAGACATTTTTTTATGTACTACTATACCTATCTGCTTTGAAATTTATTGTCTTATCGAATCTCCTTATCGCATGCTTCGCAACATATTTTCTCCCTCTCACTGGAACCATATAATAATAATCTAACACAGATGTAATCCACTTCATGATCATTAAACGTTTATTCCTTTTGGATTTAAGTACTTTTAATTTTCGTTATAAGTATTTAACTACTTAAAAATAAGTAGATATACATTTAACATTTAAAGATCGGATTCATACTAAACCACGATATAAACTGTAATCTATCAGTAATATAGATTATACTGTTGTTTTTGTCTTGTTACCTACTGAATATTAGCACGTTGACTAACAGAAGAATTTCGAGTGTTTTGTATAGCAATACTTATTTTTTCATAATAAAGGAAAGTTTAGAATTATTAGAGATGATTATTGGTGATGTGATATCACAGTACTCATATTACACTATTAGTTAGCTACTTATGTTATTAAATACTTGTATTCGATATTAATTTTCTTATTGTAACCGGTCATCGACGACCACCGTGGTAGTCAGCGTGTTAATACTGTACTACCTCCAAATTAGATACTATTATTAATTCTAGCTGTTTGATCTATAAGACTGTCTTATTTATTCTTGCTCGACAAATCGTTACATTTGCACATATTCAAGAAACATACACTTGCACTAAACATATGCAATATGTAAAATAAAAAATACGTTTTTGATACGTATTAATACGACCTAATAAATTTCTATCCAATTCCAGGTTCATGTTTTTTTTATAAAAATATACTAGTGATAACCTTCGAAAAGTTGAATATACCAAAAATTATTCGTTTAGAATATACTTAAATACGTTTATTCTCACAATTTATAAGACTCTACAGAATACCACTTTAATTTTTTTATTTTTATATATAGAGATACACTGTGATAAATGAAGAGAGTGAGTAAACCATCATGTAACATGTTACTTTATTAATGAATTTTCTTAAATTGTTGTCCAGCGATATTTACTATTTTTATTAATTATAAAACGTAGCTCCGAATAATTACTTGGAATTAATAGTACAGGTAATAAGTAATCATGTAAATATGTGAATACACAATTTATATGATATCAATATGTACTTAATTAACATTAATCGTTCACAGTCGATTCAGCTATAAATTATACAGTAATAATTTATTAAAAAAGACAATGTTGACTAACATTGAAGGTACTTTTATAAGCTGTGAATAAATATCGATCCGTCTGGGTAGGAGAGTATCTTAATATAGGACTACTAAAAATAATTATTATTTTCTTCCTTAGTATCAGTTTACTATTATTTTTCGTTTATTTATATCTCTTCTTATTTCTCTATTTCGTTATGATTTATGAACTTCAAGATATTGTTTAATATTAATACACTTTTCAAATGACCGCTTAATAATTGTATTGCATGTACATATTGTGCATGAAAAGATTTTTCGAACGATATTCTATATATGAAAAAAGAATACTATTTTAATTGCTATATCGTAAAACAGTCCACTATTCCTATTATTTTATTTATCACAGGAGCTCAGTTTATAAAAGCACAGCAATGAACAATTCTTTTAGCAGTCTGAAGAAGGAAAAGTTTAATTAAACAAAAATGACATGAAATATCATGTAACTGTAAAATTGTGAAACAAGAGGACTTAATGTTTAATGCGGTAATCTTGAAAATTCGACGATGCATCTTAAATGTACCGATGTTTTGTGCTCTCGAATATCGGACAGTTATTTATGGTAACCAAGCACTTCGGGCATTGGTGTGGACACCGGAAATCCTTACGGAGTACAATGAATCAGCAATGAAAATTTTCTTGTTGTATTAACATTATTTTATCGTATAACGAGTATTTGCAATATTATTCAACTTTTAATATATGTTCATATTCTATGTTTTACTCGTAGTATGAAATCTACTACTCTATAATAATAAATTTTTACTCATTAAGTAATAGATGAACATTAATCCGGGACGATTCATGAAGGAAAATATAAGAAAAGAAATTTTTATTAAAAAAGATAGTTGATGATTTTTACTATGGCAGCCAGTTTATAGATGTGTACAAATATTGTTATCAGCATAACACTATATTAATATTACATTAATACTATATTAATATAAACGAATATTAATTTGAAATATTCTTTCTCCACTGAAGGAATGTACCTTCGTTTTCCATTGTATACATAAACTTTTCAGGAATAGGATTCATAAAAACCGAAGTCAAAGACATTTATTTTGTCTATTAAGGTATTTATTAATTTTAAAATGAAAAAAAGTCTATGCTAATTCTGATGAAAATGCATAAGATCTGTCGTTTAAAAGTGACTTACAAATTGATGCATAAAATGTTAGTGAAAATATTTGAACGTTGTATTCCAAAGGTAATTTAATGTACCACTTTCATAGAAATTCTGTCTCTTATAAATTAAATTTAAATGATCCAATTTATCCTCTATATATATTTATGCAGAGACAACTATAAAAAGTATTTATACTTCACCAACGAGTTATTTAAACAATATTAAGGAGGATATCTAGAATGAAGACAGCCTTTTTTCTAGAATAGAAAATAAAAATTATATAATTCATAAAAACATAAAGTGTTAATTGAATATTGAGGTGAGTGAAAGAAATATTTATTTGAAATTGATTATGACTGACAGTGTTGTATGTTGAACATATACATTCAAATCTGCTAATTACTGAAATCAGTATTAGACAAAATTATAACTCTATTGCAAGTTAACAATCCTAAGTATATTATTATTATGGATTATAAATAGTTGCTTTACATAAAAAATACACTTTAGAAATCTAAATTGTATTTCTTTAATGTTGATAATAACAGATTTGAAAAAGTAACTTAAACAAGTTGAATAACATAATTTAAAGAATAACAATTAGAGTAACGAATTATTTACACGGTTTTACTACTGTTACTTTAAGAATATATTATAAAAAGTGTTTTCCGTTTATTTTATAATTAAGACATTGTAAAATGTTTTTTCAATTACAGAGAATTTCGAGTTTTAGGTGAGGTTCTTCTTGTGCACGTTTAGCGTACTTCGATATTTCTATAGGAATACAGGAACTAATTGTAGAATGTAGCACACCTTTATTTCTGGTGAAGATTCAGTTTTCTCGATTCGTTGGTAGAGAATATAAGACAACAGGTTAAATACCTCGCAAGCATTTCGAAATAACTTTCGACGTTCGTTAAATGTTCCTTGTGGAATGCATTACCGAAGTAATGACACGAAGGTATAATATTTAATGATTGTTCACATAACAGAGTGGAATGTTTGCTTTGGGTAGTTGTCGTTTGTATCGTATTTATAGGCAATAGACGGAATTAGATAAAGAATACAAGGCGGCCAAATAAAATAATTCGTTCGTCATTGCACGTTGCAACAGGTGAGGAAGCGCAAGAGCAAACATTATCGTAGATATTCTCTTCCGGGATACCCTTGACTCATATTTTCGTGGTGAAAAGCATAGGCTTGCTGCGAAAAAGGGCCGTAAGACGCCGTCGGTAGCACAATCCTGAGCAAACTGTTTTAGTCGAAACATCGAAAGGGTTGCTATTTTGAGGTGGCTCGCACTAAATATGGTCAGATAGGCGTTGGCGTTGTACCCGGGCAAGACACCCCTGCTCAAGCACCGGTTCCGTAGTGGGGGAGATCTACCAAAGTTACTTAGACAAGTTCACCTCTATGACTTGGACAGTTGGTTCGTTGTGACCATCTCGTACCATCCTCTTACAAACCAACTGTAGACATGGTAAGTAGGTACCGCGTGCACCGAGACGCCATTGTGACTTTCGCTTGATACGATCAGGGAACATAGCGAGAAATCTTCGTCGAATATCCCCTAAAACAGTGCAATGCTGCAAACCGAGACGAGAATGTTGAATACCATAATTGTGACTAGTGCTGGAAAGACGTTTTACCGTTCCTACGAGGCTAAATTTTCAACATGTCGATGAAACCATATAAACTGTGTCGGGAATTGAGTGATCAATCCATCAAAGTGCAAACTTGCACCAGGAATGTCGAGAATTGTGTTTAGAGAGTGTAAGCAGTGCTCTTCGTTAGGTTCCTAGCCGGATATTATCGTTCCATCTATCTCTAACAGTGAATCCTACTCGATGAGCGCATTAAGGATCATGGAATCCCCGCGTTCCTTACCTTCGCCACTCGATTCGATCTGATCTGGTGGAAACAAAGCCCGAATCACGTTTAGAAGCACAGTTTCACGTTTTATCGTACACAAACATATTTATACACGTGATAATGTTTGTATCGATATTTATATCGATTATTTTGCAGCGAAGTAGTTTCCTTGAGTCGCATTGTCATTACTTTCTCAGTTTTAATCCTTTGCCTTACGTTGTCGAGTCGGACATATGGGGAAGATTCCAAGGAAATTTTCATAAACGCGAATATTGTTCGTTCCTTAGGGAATAAAGTTTTACATTATTTTCTTATCTATTTTTCTACTGATTTATGTTTTAAGTTTTCCTAAAAATTGGTGACGATACAGTAATTGCAAATGTAACTGTTAAAAATTCGTAAGACAAACGATTACGTTGGATAAATGCCACCTAGTAGTTGGCTCTATATAATATCCATTAACATTTTTGAGATCGTCGTGTATATAACAAAAATACGAAAATTACGTAACTGTAGTAACTCGAGAGGCGGCTCGGAGTAAACGGTCTATATATGTCTTGGCTTCTTTTCAGTCACGGATGATAGGAAGATTCTATTATTAGTCTGTATGAGTAACGCCTTCCGAATTTTCCTCGGTAATACCTACGTTAACTCAGGATTACCTCAAAGTTAGATAATTATTATGTCACAATTTTGTTACAGTTACAAATTCTTTTTGTGTACAATTAACATACAATCGTTTAAAGAATTTAAATTATTTTTATATTTCTTTTTATTACGAACGTATCATATAAAATGTTTTCTTTCATTTCATTTTAACTTTTCGCTGTTTTACTACTTTATGCCGATTCGAACAATTTTATGTATAAATATTAAAATCATTAAGCTGTAATTCTCTAATATTTTAAAGAATATTAGATAACGATATCATTATATTGATTGCCTTTATGTTAGCTTAGAAAAGTATGAATATGTAAATAAATTAAATGAAATTTATATAACGTATTATAATCCTACGTAATAAGTAGTTAAAAGATTCTTTTCTTTTTACATTAAAAAAGAATAAAATAATCAATCAAAGTAATCAAAACAATGTATTTAAAATGTAAAGTCAATTTACCTTTTAAATGATATAAGTAAAAGAATTTTATTTTCATTGTTTTATAACGGTCCTAGTAGTGCAATGATTACATTAATGGCGTTATTAAATTCCAAGGGTGGTTTTTCTTCTTAAATTCCTGACAAGGAATGGTTTCTTATATGCATAGTTCTTATGTGTTGTATAATCTTACAAAATTTCATAAAGATTAGAATTTAGGGGTTGGAAGTTTTTTCGTTCTTGAATATGACCATGAACAATAATTAATTATATCAAATGGTATGGTAGCATTTTCTGTGTAGATAATAATCTTGTACAGGAAAGGAAATGTAAGAAAATACATCCCCAGATCTAAAAATGTAGGTCTTAAACGCGTATCAGCTTAACTTTTATCGTGTGAAGTTTATAAACATAAAAAATATTGTAAGAATTATTAATTAGTTTTGAAAAATAAAATTTTTTAATATAATACCGTACACATTAATACCAAAAGTATTTTTGAAAATAAGATGATTCTTCCGATGTAGATAAATTCTGAAAGGGCATAATGAAACACGTATTTAAAAAAAATAATTAAAAATGCATATCAATGTGTGCAAATTGCAGTTATTTTTCCCTCATAAGACGTATAACAACAATGACGTTAAGAAGAAATAATGCAAACTTTAATGTACTTCGAGTTTAAGTATGTACTTCAAAAACTCTAGCTGTGTAATAATTTCAGAATTTTTCTCCGGTTTCTACTTATAGTCTTAATCATCAGTTAGTATTATGAGTTGTCAGTTTCTATTTCATTTACAAGACCTTTAAGAAATTCGACTAGTTTTCTCAATCAAAATCGACAAGAACTAAATATAGCAAAACCACTTTTTTCCATTAAATTACAAATTTTAAAGAATCACACAACTTTATAGAAAAAAGAATACATCCAATGTTTACTTAGACAATCTGTTTACATCTATTATGGTATTCAAGGTAGACAAAAAATGTATAGTTAATTATATTTTATGTAATACATTATTATATTCAGTAATATAATAGAGAGTTATATTGGGATCCTCTTTGAAATCCTCTGTAAATTTGCAAAATTTAAAATACATCGATTGTAGGTTACCAAAGTCTCTTTACCAACTAAACTTTACCAACTTTCTTTTACTAACCAAGGTAGTATTGTTTTATAAAAAAGTTAGGAACACAAAATACTTTTAATGTATCTCATTTTCATATTGTGTTTCATAGAAATTAGCATTATACAGGAATTAAACACTCCATTACATTAAAAGAAAGTTTCTTTCTAGTGAGTTTTAAATAGACCAGTTTGTTGTAAAGCTTAAGATCTGCTAAGTAATCTGTTTATAAGGTTTTAAGAAAATTGGTGATTAAACTGTAGATCTTGAGTTTATAGAATATAAATGATAAAAACGTAAATTTTCATAAATATTTGTAATATAAAGATGATTGAACTGTGAATATTTATGAGAATTCAATTTTTTTTTAAATACAACGAAAAAAATGGAAATACGATAGAAAATGGGTTCACCTGACAAATATTATAAGAATTACTATATTTTGGACATTTTATATATTTATTTGTATGATGCGTATTCGGTATAATTTTGCACTTTCAAGTTTCCTATAAATACATAAAAATCCGTAGTTTTGTAATGATTCATTCAAACGTGCGTACAAACATCCCTCGAATAACAAGGTACTCGAGTTACACAGAGTCTCGAGTAATATGATTAAAAATTGCAGCAAACCCTCGTATAACAAGGCCAAAAATTGCACGGTTTGGTTAAAGTTTATTATCGATACATTCGTATGACTTTCAAATTCCTTATGATACCGTTCTGAATAATATAGAACCATTTAACCGTGTTATTCACGGTTGACTGTATTTATTTTACTGCTGGCAAAAAATTTCATTTCTTTACGAAACCACGAATACATTTAATTTATTTACCGAACTATAAAGACGTTTAATGTATTTACCAAACTACAAGAACATTTAATTTATTTACCAAACTGTAAGAGTATTCAGCTTATTTACCAAACAATTTTAGGCGGATAAGGAAAAGAAGAAGAAGACCAAAAAGAAGGAGGAGCCAGCAGCGGCTCCTCCACCGGAACCTGAACCAGCGCCGGCAGAAGAAAAACCACCAACTCCTACTAGTACACCAAAAGAATCTGGTTCGACTAGAGCAAGTAGTCGTGGTAGTCGAAAAGCGAAGCGCACTGGATCCAGTGTGTTCTCTATGTTCACTCAAAAACAGGTGGCTGAATTTAAAGAGGTAAGTTGGAAACAATTTAAATTGTACTCAGTGTCGACAAAAAGAAGGCCAACTATGTTGTGTCTGTAATTACAAGTATAATATATAGGTTATCCTAATTTATTCTGTTCATAACAGTAATTATGTTCCCAACAGTTCGTTGTTTGAAAAAATATTTCAAATAGAACTTATTGTTTCGAAAGGAAAATTTTACGGTGAACAATACCTCTAAGAACGATTTAGTTAAGCCACCCTACATATATAGAGTATTTCACCCAATTCTATAACCAGAAAGATTGCTACTATTATTAAAATTTTATAAAAATGCTTTCTGTGAAAATTGTATAATTTTATTGTAGCTGGTGTGTAATAGGTTAATGCAATAAGACTCAACTTTGCTTTATTCAATGGAATTGTACATTTTATTTGTTTGTATAGACCACTTAACTTTAATCATAAATTCAACGATCCAGGTCACAGCAATATATAAAAGTTTGTAGTTTAAATGTTATACAAAATACATTGTAGTATATGTAATGAAACATATAATTCACGCATAAAAAAACTCTTCAAGAGTACTGAAGATCATGTAAACTAATTTTTTTACTTAACTTTTGGAACTAGTACGAAATAACATTCTTTTCAATTAGTAGCACAACACGTTTCATTATTTCCACAAAAGATAATCGTCCACACGCTGTAATAATTCTTCTTTCCATATTATGTATTGCTGTAGGAAGTTTTCGATGTATTATAATTTTAGCTGCAATTCATAAAAATTAAATTGCTCCTTTCTAGAAAATAAGAAAGAGAGGAAGATAAACTTAAATATCTTGCATATGCGTTGTATTGATGGTTTTCTAATACTTCTGCTTAAAACGAGTAGAAACAGAGACGTGTTAACAAATAAACGATAACTACTCAAGACTAAAAATTGAACAGAATAATAATTTCTTTATTAATAATATAGACAGATCATTTCAATTCATTTCCTCCCGACCATCTAAATTCGAACATCTGCACATGTATACATATGTAGCATATTTATTTTTCTGAAATTATACAATATTCTATACAATAAATATCTGTAAATATAGTACCAATTAAGAAACAAAGTTGATTATCGTATTTGAGTAAGCCTTTTCAACAGAATAAAACTGCTGTTACTATTCGTTAGTCACCACCACAATACTACAAAATTTTTTTACTTATTATGTATCTTCTATATATAAACACATTATATGTGTAGAAAATATTTCTTAATAAGTGGAAGAAAGTTTGAGGAAAAATTCTCCATGACAATAGAAAAGGAAAATGAAAAATAACAAAATGGTAATTTTAGTTTCTTTTTAAATATTCTTCAATAATAATGATTCAGGTCTTTTATACATATCTGTCTCCGTCCGTCCTTATATTGACTTGCCTCGCACGCCCCGTTATCAGATCGTCGAAGTTTAAAGATTCTTTGACCATTAACGACTTAAATCTGAAATTGAGATTGCAATTCTTTTAGTCCAGATATTTTTATTCGTAAAATCAGTTCTTAATATATTTACCACATGTTTGTTATAATTTTACAATATTTTTAAATTATTTATGAAGCAACCAATTCATCTGTAAATAAATATGTACAAATAAAAGTTAATATAAATGGATCATAATACAAGTGACTTTAAAATTACTAACCAGTGTTTATATAAAAGAGATGACAAACAATAAATTACAACTAAAACCGTGTTAATTCATTATGTATAGAGCAAATAAATTGTAAATTCTTGGAATTATGTTTTTAGGCATTCCAACTTATGGATGCAGATAAGGATGGTATAATTGGAAAGAATGACCTCCGTGCGTGTTTCGACTCCGTTGGTCGTCTTGTTACTGACAAGGAACTCGACGATATGTTAAGTGAAGCTCCTGGACCAATCAACTTCACTCAATTACTTAATCTGTTCGCAACTCGCATGTCTGGATCAGGTATTTGCCAATCCATAAGATCTTCTATTTATAATAGTATCTAGTTTTTACAAAAGCTTTCAGTTAAAAGTCTATAGAAAAAAGTATAATTGATATTACTTTAATTTTTAACATGAAGTATCAGAAAAAATTTTGTTAATTTTAATATTCCGATTATTTACATTCAACAAACCCGGGAATATAACGTTAATAAATTTGATGTGTTCAGGTGCGGATGACGACGAGACAGTAATAGCTGCCTTTAGCACCTTTGATGTAGATGGTAAAATTGATGGTGAAAGGTGAGTAAGAAACTTTATTTGCGTCGTATTAAATAACTTTCTTTATAATATTTTTGTATTTGATTTTCTACCAATAACGATTAACAGTTGTAATTTTCTAAATATATATTTCATTTGATCGTTATTTGTTATATGTAATAGATACATATATGATGACTTAAATACGATCTAAGTCTGATATATCCTGTTGATAACATTGTCTGATATACTCATAATATAGAACTTGATAATCTACAAAATGGAGTACATACATTTTAAAACAGTATTTTAGAGGTACGAAAAGTAATCTGTTATTTTTTACAGATTGAGGCACGCTTTGATGACTTATGGCGACAAATTTAGCGCGAAGGAAGTCAACGATGCATATGACAATATGTATATTGATGACAAAGGTTTCATCGATACACAAAGTCTTATTGCGATGCTGACTGGTACGGGCGATGAAGAAGAAGATTAATTTTAAGTGATCTAACATGAAAAAAACTTCTGTTAAACCTTTAATCATTGAAACAAGGTCTTGCGTTAGCGCCAGACTCGTGTGATTTGCTTCCAAATGGTGAAAAACGGCAATAAAGCAACAATAAGCATTCCCTTTCCTTTGCTCTTTACTGGTAGAAGGCTTCTTTACTGAGGGAACTGTTATCAGTAATAAAAGACCGTCGATAAACGACAAGAAATCATAGAATATTCTCCTGGAGGTAAAACAACGTATCTGTCGATAAACGAGGCTTTGAATATCCATATTATTGTTCGTATAATAAAATTATTTAAAAACTTTATGATAATAGTTTTAATTTTACCTCGTCATGAATATTGTCAACCATGCATTATCGAATACGTTTTGTATAGCAATTTTATATTCTTTATGAAACTAGGCACACATTATTATATACTGACATACAGAATGTTTCGTTTATCTCGTTCGCCTTCGTTTCTTTGCCACTTTTGGTGGTACAAAAAGACGTGACAGTAAAAAAATAGATTGATTCCCACAATAATGGTATGTGTTTGTTGTAGTCTTGAACCTGATAAAAAGTCGAATTCAGATTTGTTGTTGTATGTCGATTGTCAAGCGTATAGTTAATGAGAGTTGGCACTGAACGATTTGTGTATTGATTTTGAAAAGAGGAAACGGATGTAATCGCTTATGTGAGAGACGTAATACTGTAAAAACGTGTGAAATAAATTTTAAATAAGAAAAAATAGTGATTTTGATCTTACCATACGATAATCAGAAATGGAATCAGTACTTTAAGTACTTAATCAACTAAAAAAATAGAGAAAATCGGAAAAGGAATAATAACGTATTAGAAATGAGTGGATTTGCTAATACTTTCTGAGCGGAAAGAGAATTTATTTACATTGTATTGAGCCATTAAGACATTATAAACGAATTTAAAAGAAATTAAATTGTTGAGCAAAGACAAGTGAAAAAGAGCATCAAATTGTAGTCATAATAGGAAGACGGCCACGGTAAAAACAAAATCACTCTATAATATATAACATATAATTTTTATGATACAAAAAATACGAGAGAATGAGATCGAAAATAATGGAAATAACTTTACTGCGTTAGAAGGAAAAATTGATCGAAGGAAATGTAGTGTATTGGGAAGAAGATAGAAACGTATTGGAGTTTACAACAAAATTATGACGATTGAGAAGTAAAAACATTAATTTGTAATAAACTTTCACTTAAATTCGGATTCAGTCATCAACTGAAAAAAATGTTTAATAAACAATTTAATGAATAATAATTAAAACAGAATTTAGAGTATCTAAAGAATATGGATCTATGAAGAAATATTTTCGAGTTATTGAATGCTTTCACGGATGTAACGCTACAAAAATTTTTGAGAAAAATGAAAATAAACACGAAATTACTGAACATGTCACAGAAAATAGAGAAGAAAAGGTAATATTGAAAAAGCTGAGAGTGAACGACAACAACATTACTAAAAAGTAACAATTGAAAAACAATACAAAAGAACCGTGAAAATAAGAATGGTGATGGCTTCGGGGGGTAAAATTAAATACTTAATACTTACTTACAAGGGAAATTATCGAATTCAGAAATTCAAAAAAGTATGAAACTCTATCTAAGTAGAGTAAGTCAAGCATAATACACTGCAATTCTTTCGTGCCGAATTTCCTTTTGAAAGAGTGGAACCACCCCTTGAAACAAATTTTTCTCTCCCATGGATTACCTTGAGAACGAAAAAAGGTTTAAACAAAGAATACATTGTTCTTTCGCGTTCATAAAACAAAATAAAATTTTTCAAAATATCCCCAATTCAGTGTTGTCAGCACATGTCTCTTCTGATGCACAGCGCTGCCGCAGTTAACCGATTTATACATACGTGAGACATTGAACATCACTGTCGGTACCTTATGTTCCGCGAAACTATTTTTCATTCTCAATTGAAAACAAAATGTATTACGGAAGTTTTTTTAAAGAATTTCGCAAGGTGGATGCCTGTTCTATCGCATGCTGGAATTATATTTTCTCTTAGGCGCTTAGTTTTTAAAATAAATTGAAAAATATCCGCAAAAACCGGCGCGTTTCGGTTGCCGTTTTGCCTTTCAACATTGTTTCAAATATGTTTAAATGTTTATAATGTCATTAAAATTTATATGATTGTGTTCAGGAAAATCCATAGAATAATGTTGTATAAGAAAAGTTTCAGAAATTTTCATAATTAAGATACAACAAAGGTTCAAAGTTGAAAAATTAAGTTTTTTATTTAGAATTAATTTTCTCAACAACTGTGGGTAATGGAGAAAAACGGATTGCACATTCGAATTCGCCATAAGAAATATTTTTAAGATCAACCATTAAACCATCTGTTATTAGCAACAACAGAACTTTATCGACTTATATGTATAAATGGATGCTTACTAAACTGTGCAATTGAGTTACGTGTATAAATTAGATAGTACTAAACTGAACATTATCAATGATCGTCCCACGTTTTATCTTCTCAATGGTAGCTGATTCGATTTATTATGACTCTCCCATTCAAATGTTGATCAAGAATAGGTCATAAACGTATCGCTCGTAAAATTTGAGTTCCTTGAAGCGTGTTTTCCCCGAACAAGTATTGCCCCGACTGTAAACAGATACTTCGTATAATCATCAAATCGGATCGCAACAGTTTATTACACTCTATTGGAAAGTAACCAATTTCTGTCGATGTTACTCATTGGAACTATATGAGACCTTTTTACGAGTCAAAAGGTGAAGAATGAAATTTTCTGAAAAAGATTAATGCCATTTTTCATTTAGTTGTTAGAGATGCTCCAAACAAGAAAATTGAAAGATACAGTTACAAATTTATTAACCATAAATAAAGTTAAAAAATCGTTAGTGTAGCCGCAACTAGCCGATTTATTCGTGTAAACATGTTACTTTATTTTATTTAGATATTTATATTAATTTTAAATTCACATTCCTCTATTATTTATACACTGTTTGTAAAAAAAGTTGCAGTTGCATTGCATTGAGGAGAGGCAATCGTTAGCAGTCAGAGTCACTACCGGTTTTTTAGTATATTTCACGCAACTATCTTCAATTTTCGATTGAAAACTATATTAATGTGTCTCGGAACCTTTTTCGATGGATTGATGGAAAAAAAAAATGGTCTAAAAAAAGAGGGGTAAATTGGAGCAAATTTTTTTTTCTACGATGAAGAGAAATCTCTGCTAACTATGAGAGTACATGAAGCAAAGTCATTCGTGAAGTATTATACTCATAAGTACTATCATTGCTTATACATAATGCATAAATATAAACCATTAAAGAGAGATGGATAATAAAACGATCATGTATTATTTAAAGTACAGTATATACTTACCTGTAAAGCTTTCACCCTGGTAAAAAATATATACATTTTTTTTAAAACACACAAAAATGTTTCGAAGAATTAAAAGAGCAAATCGAGCGTAACGAAAACTTCGAACTTTCAACAAAACCCAGGAGCTTATGAACAAGCAGATAAAAAAATGCTATTGGTATCTTATTCCTCATGCATTCAACTATCTTAGGGAAACAAATTTTCAGTTTAGGCACAATTTTAGTAATTGACTTTTGGTCAGCTAAAACGGTAAACGTGCTCACAGTGCTGAATCGACGGAATTAAAAATCGGAATATCGAAGCTGGTCAGCTCGTCGACACCACCCCGTTGCATCTGACCGCCCGACCTGTTACCGCCATCACTGAAACAAAAGCCATGCACGGCGTTCTCTAAAAACTCACAAAAACTCGTGCACGTTTTAAAAACCCATCGAAAAACGAGCACGCGAACGAAACGCATAAAAACCCGTCAGAACGTGTTAAGATGAAACAAAATGGAAAAATAATGGAAAAAGCATGTAACATTCACTTCGTTCATTCTCTCCCGTTCGTTCGTTCATCCATAAGTCTCGTTCAAATAAAATGCATATTACATTCTGCCTCGTTCAAATAAAACATATATGTACGAGACTCAATATCATTTAAAAAGAATAACTTCAGATAAAGTGATGAAAGAGCATATCCGACATTGTATGCTTTATGAATTTCGTAAAAACTATGCTGCCGTTACAACAATCAATATTAATTGTGTTTTTCCGAAGCCCTAAGTGTCTGGAAATGTCAACGATGGTTCACTAAATTTTGGAACGGGGACTTTTATACGCAACACGATGAAAAATCTGGAAGTTCGTCTCCTCTTAAAGACAACGAATTGGGGGCTATAGTTGAAAAAGATCTGAGTTTGACAATTGAAGAGATTGCAGAAATTCTTGATGTATTGTGGTTTACAGTTCAAGAACACATTCACAAAATTGAAAAAGTATGCTGATGCGGAAGGTGGGTTCCACATGTTCTTAGCACAGACAATCGAGTATCTGAGAGTTGCTACATGCAATTCGTTTAGTTATGGGGAACGAAAAATGGGTTATGTGTGAAATCCAAACCGGAAACCAGATTTCTACAACATTTTTTAGATACTAAAAAATTGTCCACTTATGAAGACGTCAACAATGGAATTCAAAAGTATTTTAATGAAAAGTCAAGGAATTTCTATAAAAGGGGCATACGAAAGCTCGTTTCCAGATGCCAAAATGTCGTAGACAATTACGGAGATTATCTCATTGACTGAGTGTTTCATATACGATTTAAAAAATTTAAGTAAACTAGTTTTATGAAACGACATTATCTATGGGTACCCCTAACAATTTATTAATTTTACAAATGATACCTTGGTCGTAGTCGTATGGACATGCTCACACGACGATGATTAAGATCGGAAGAATGCAACGGATCGAAAAATGCAATTCACTCGCTTTCTAACAGTTCTGTTTATGCTTAAATTTATGTCAATATTACGATACAGCATCCATGACTACACGTGCACTGATATAAAACACTATACCTTTTCGTTGCTCTAGCCACACCACACAAAAAGATCTTTAATTCTGTTATTTTTTCTTTAACACTAAAACTACCAAACGGGTCAAAATTACCCATTTCTGACGTCTTCTTTTCGCAATTATTCAAAAGAATAGATGTTTCTCTGCGAAACTATTAGAGAAATTAGTGTAGCAATGCGCAAACTCAATTGAAAATCTTAATACATGCACTCTTGGAGTTTCTATAAAAGAATTAAGAAAAGTCACTTTAACTTCTTGGTAGTTTTAGTGTTAATAGCACTCCACAATTTTAAAAGCACATTTTCAAAAAGTTACACATATCTGACTATAGTCAGCGCTGGTACTGAAAAAGTGGAGGTGATAAATACTTGCGATTCTTGTGAAACTGATTATTTCATAAAATTCAAAATTAAAAAAAAATATATAGGTTCATTCGTGATTTTAGAAATTTTTAAGATTTTTAAAGTCTGGTGGATTTCAAGTAACGCCGAGGAATTAATCGAACTAATGATTATAAATAATAATTAACATAAAATCATGTTAGAGGTTAAGGAATATAATTTATAACTAATTTTGTAATTATGACAAATGAATAACAAAAGCAATGCAAACAGATGTAATCAATGGGAATAATTACCTTAATAATCATTAGTAACAAAATAATCGCGCTCTTTTATTACAATTAACTTAGAAATTTCATAATATTGTAGCAACAATGATGTTCAACAGTTTTTAAGAAATACTAGAAATATGCGGGTACTTGAAAATGTGGACCTTATCGGGTTGTAGAATTTTCGGGTCGGATAGGATTTCCGAAAGCAACTCTTAGGTTTAGGTTCTTGAAACAGTTATAAAGAACCGAAATAAAATCATAACTGTTATTTTTCAGTTCTGAAAGAAATACAGTACGGAAGTACAAAACCGAAAAATAACAGTAATAGAACCGATGTAATATAGATTCTGAAAAATCGGAACCGAAACCTATATACCGAATAACAGTTATGACTTTATTTTGGTTCTTCATAGCTGTTTCAGTCGGAACCAATATCTAACAGGTCCAAACAGTTATTTTAAGAATATTTCAATTCCTGGCAGAAACCGAAAATTTCGGATACTTGATACCTGGATCGGGAAGGAATTGGAAACTTTACATTTATAAAATATTGTGTTCAATATACTCGGAATTTAATCGTTGTTCTACTTTCGTGTCGAAACACGGCTCATATTTTCAACATTTTAGGAACCTCGAATTTACCCTTACAATTCCCGACCTAGTTAGAATATCAGATACCCGTTCGAATACTAACTATAGAATTTAGTTTAAAAAATCTCTCGTTTTGCGCGCAATAAGATCAAAAAAAGAAGTGTGTACTCGTCAAACACAAGACGAATGCACCCAGGATATATTTTAATGAAAAACCAAGGCAAAACAACGAAAAATGACATATTTAAACGCAGTTAACTGGTTAAAAAATACGTATTTATTATATAATGATGTAAACGGACAAACAAATTATGTAAGTACGAGAAACTAATGAATTATTTAAAAACGAAAAACTAAAGAATATATTGAGGTCGGAATATAATTACTTTTTAATGTATTTCCCGCTTCTCGCATTTCAAACATTTTATCCAAAAACTAGTATATTTTCAGTACATTTACCATCATTGCATACATGAACAATCCCTCCACTGGAGTAAATGATAATGAAAACGCGTCATAAGAGAGGAAAACATTTCGTTGCAATTTTACTTCGGTTCCACAAAAAATATAAAATCTCCGCTCTGCCATAGATGTAGGTGAAGCAGGATGTTAAAAAGGTATCAAACTTGTACCCTCTCGAGCACTTAAAACTTGTATGAGATATCATTCTCTAGGAGAAGAAAGATCCCAAGAAATCATAAATACAGAATTACTTATGGTAAATATGATAGTAAAGTAATAAAAAATGTAAAATGAAGTTGACCATATTTCGAAAGGCGAATAAAATTTGAAAGAAAATTATATTTAAAAGAATGCTACAGGAAAAATTAATTTATAAAATGCAATTACTATTGCGTGGATTAGTATCTAGAACATAGTTTTTCTCGTTTAGTTAAGGAAGAATGACAATTAAACACAAATTTATTTCCACCGATCGTGATTTTTTGTTTGTGTTATAGTGAAAATAATACAAAATTTAATTAGGATTTATATTTTATTACATTTCTCATATTTATATTTGATATAAATGCTTAAAAATCTATAATTCAGTAATTAATATCAAATCTATATTAGATTATTCGGAAAAATTACGATCTTTTATTAGTGATTTGTTGTCAAAAAATAGTGCAAATCATTTTGTGTATTGTTGCAAAGACAAAATCTTTCTTCCTTCTATAGCTTTATAAGAATGATTAAAGCATAAGGTCCTACTTCAGGTTTAACAACTTCTGTCAAGTACGTAATAGGTAAAAGACATACGTGTAAGGAACTATCGTTTCGCAGTTAATAATAAATTTATTGTATTGTACGTTATGGAAAAAAAATTTAATAGAAACATTTTATGTGTGAGTGTGGATAGTGATTCTTAAAATGTCGAACATGTTTACTTGCGAATCTTTTATTTCTCACGCTAACTTCACTTATTTCAAATTTCTGTAATCACTTACGAACAATTGCAACTGTAGCATCATTCACGCATACGTATGTTTTCTAAAGAAAAAGAGTGTAAAGTGTTAGAAATACAGTTTCCGATTTTTCATTTTCATCATTTTTTCCAAAATTGTAATATTTATTATAATAGCACCAGATACATTTGGTTTAATAAAATGTTAAATAGATTAAAATGTGAACAGTTAGAAATTGTCGAATTTGGATAATTGCAAGTTAGAAATTTTTAATTATAATTAACTTCACACATTGCAATACAGAAGAGACTTAAAATAAATGAATCTTTCAAACTGTCTTTAATTTGTATTTAATTTTATCCCTTCAAAATATATGTAAATTACAAATTACAACACATGTGTTTGGTAAATGCATTACAATGGAAAAGAAAATATTTATCTATATTAAGAGTGTACAATTAAAGTCAAACCATCCGAATAATGGCCTGGTTCTGCAAACAAAAGCTTGTCAACCTATCACATATGGATAATTGGAATAATATTGTATCGTAAAAATATAATATTTTATAACAAACCAAGACAGATAATTTTATTATATATTTAAAGGCCATATACGACAGTCACTTTAAATATATTAATGAATATTAAACATTTTTTCAAAGTATATTTGAAAATTAACAGTATCATATTAGTCATTTCGTAGGTACCTGTTTCCAAATAAACAAGTTTAAATTGCCAGCTTTTCATGATTTGAATATAAACAAGAAGTAAATAATGCAGAAAAAATAGTTACAGTGCTACGATCAACCCATGAAACTGACTTCATCTTTCTACATACTAAACCACAGAAATATTTTTCCCTTTTATTATGGAATACTGACAAATATATTTAATAATCATTACGTATACTTAAAATAATATAATATTTATAAAAAGTGTACCCTTAGCTAAATTTGTATCATTCTTAAACCCATTACAAATGAAGTTATAAACATTACAAATTCTACAAACAATTCTGAAATTGTATGTTCCATTGTCTTTATGAAAGTTACATGTAAAAGTAAAATGCATACACTATATGTTACATGATATTTAAAAATCTTCTCTGACATGTGTATGTACATTTCCATAAACATACATGTTACAGTTACGAGGGTATCTTTAATGTTTACAGTATTTTAGAAAATTAGAACTTAACATTAAATTTTTCATAATTTATTCTTCACTTTGTTATTTTATCTTGCAAACGTGGTATTGTGCAGTTAAAAATTTTACCGAATCATTATTTTTAATATCCTAATTATATATGCTATAACAGCAATTTCATATGTAGTTTGTTTAATAATTGATTTTACGTTTACATTATACATCCTATATTTATTAACTTTTAATCAGTAGACAATTTAGTTCGTTTACGATGATAATTTCTTGCCAATGCATGAATAATGGTCACTAGGAAATAACATACCATCAACATCACAAATTTATCAAATAACCATGAAATGGTTGTTGTCCCATCCTGTAAGTAAGATGTATATTAATAAACATTCAAATATGCAAAACAT